TCAGTGATGCTGAATACAGTAATGCATATTTGGAAAGATATATGGAATAAATAAATATGTTCTTCAATGGCCTGTGAAAAATCCAGATTTTTTTTTACTTATTGGAGTCTTTACTTATTCCACACCTAAAAATTCAACATACAAATTTTGGGCATGCAGAATTCTTCAGAGAATTCTTAAAATGCTATATAGTTTGCGCAGCATATCTTTGTCTATACAAATCCTGATTTTCAGATCAAATAGAAGGGAGAAAATTTTTAAGCTGCCTTTATTGCCATGCCAAAACCCTCATCTCCAAGGACTAGTATAAAGCTGAACTTGTCAATTTGTAATTAAATCTTATAGGATACAGCAGTGATACTCGTTAAAGAAAAGGCCTTTTATAGTCTGCAATCTTATTTTCAAGTAACAGGATGACACAAAAGTCACATTTCACAGAAGTTTTATGTCTGTTATTTCATGCTGGAATAATGCTGCACAAACTAATTAGCCAGTATAATAGTGTCAGGGTATACTCAGGGAAAAAAATGAATCTGGCAAAATACCTCTGACTTTCTAATATTTATAATGACCTGTGTATTACCGAGACAATATTCTTACACTTGAAGGGTTAGTCTTTTGCAGTGCTAAGAAATAAATCTTATTTAGTCTAAGGCACTCAAAATCTCTCAGTCTAAGGCACTTAGATCATACATAATTAATGTAGGATGGTGTAGCTGCCATTTCACAAATCACTTTTTTTTACAGTTAGAAACAATGGTCACAGCTCTGGAAAAACCAAAGCTGGAAAAAGCTATTAAATTAAAGACAAAAATCATTGCAACATAAGTCCTTCAGTTAATTTATCCACTGAGATAAATAGAATGCAATAAATAAGATAACACAATAAGTTCTTCAAGCAGTTGAATTAAAGCAGCAATGCACTGAGGGTAGCAAGAAATGTGACAGCAGTGGAGCTGAAGTTTTGTCAGGAAATTCATCAGTGCATTACAAAGGTTTTTCATATCCATGAATACTTGTAAGCATGGCATGTGTTTTTTGGTGACTTTTTTTTTCTGTTGTTTGGGGTTTTGGTTTTTGTGTTTTTTGGAGGTTTTTTTGGGGGTTTTTTTGGTGAGTTCTTTTGTTTTGGTTTGATTTGGTTTAGCTGGTTTTTTGGGGAGATTTTAGGGGTTTTTTGGCGTTGTGTTTATTGGTTTCTTTTTTGTCTTTTTGTTTGAAAGACAACTCATAGAGGAATATCATGGAAAAAGACAGGAAAATGGAAAAGAAAGAAGATTGAAACAGTAATGAAGGTTTTGAAGGCAGGTGAATTTACTGCTTTAAATTTATCACAGAGTTCTAACTCCCAGAAAACTTCTTTTTTTCAGATTCTTGTAGATTTGCAGGTAGCTAAGATATGTATAAACTTTTAGAGGCATGATGAGTGTTTATAAAGCACACCTATCATTCAAATAAATGAATAAAGACGCTACTGGATTCTCAGAAAACCACCAATTCTTGCAAGATCTACTAAAATGAAGTCATAATATTGGTACATTTTTACCATAGCAAGTGACTTTCAAAAATTAGAAAACTAAATAAAATGTGTAGGAAACTGTTACATGTAAATATTTGTCCTGTGACTACATGACTTTTCTAGGGAGTTGCAAAGCACTTCATATTGCTGCATCCCTGTAAGCAATCTCAGTATCTGTAAGTATGAATGGAAAACAAATTCACACAGATCCTGACCACCAGCTTCTCTTTTGTAGTCAGTGTGGAGAACATTTTCAGTCCAAATCTGTATATCATGTGGATATTTATATTGTCGCTCCCTTGTCATGACGAGGAACTTTAGACTTTTATCAAAATGTCAACATATTTATATGACAATTTCTGCTAATAGAGACTAGTGGCAACTTTCCCCTTTTTAGATATTTGATACTGTTTTAACTGGATGACTATTCCAGATTCACATTTAAAAAAACTGTATTTTTATGCATTCAGAAAGGACAGCCAGGTATATTAATTAATGTTAAAGAAGATTTACAGCAGGATATAAACGTTCTTTTCAACAGAGGCCAACAAAACAAGTTTCAAAAATGAAAAAAAACATTATAGCAGTTCTTAACTATAAAATTATGAGTTATGGAGTAGGCATTTTACTTCGTTCAGCAGGAGGTTAATATCTTCATGTCTTTCCTTTCTTTAAAAGAAAAATCAGGCTTAAAGAAATTAGGAAATTGAAATATTGCTGTGAAATTGCCAGACAGCCCATCTTTCTGATAGCTTGTGGAGCACAAGAATAAATTGAAATTAGTTGGCGAAACATTAATTTCTACAACTAGAACTGAAATTGTAATTTCCAAATCTACTGCTGATGTTCTAAAGCGCTCAGAAAATCATGTACATGTTTTAGCTTAAGTAGTAATGTAGTTAGAACAGATTAACTCCATTTGCCTTGTGCCTAGTTTGCTTTACTTTTCATGCATTGCATGAAAATTAACACAGCTGGAATAAGAAAATTAAAAAAAAAATAAACCCAAACCATCAATGAAAGAGAGAAGCATTGAAATAATATCTGTGATATTTAGGTGACATGTCCCAGCTTAAAAATGGAAGTAAAAATATTAGCCAAAAATGTTTTCATCTTAGAAGGAAAAACATTATGAATTACTGTGTATAGATTTTTTTAGTATTCAGGAAGTTTATCATCTTTAGCAATACATGCTCAAAAGTCAACTAAGACAGAATGTATAATATCTCTAAAGGAGAAAAAAATGTTGGCTTTTCATGTGATGCAATTTCCTGTTCATGCTTGTTAGCAATTTCTAGCTAACTGGACATGTGTCAGTTTTGTGTTCTTGAAAAAGAGTTATGAATTTAACAATTTAAAAATAATTATGTCTCTATAAATGCTTTTAAATCTGTCACCAGTACTAATATAGAAACACAGGTTGAAGTTCTAGTTTAACTTACAGATTTTTTATTTAAATACTATGAATTCTAAATTATTGATTTAATAACCTATCTTTCATAACGCCTTGATAAGTACTGATATATAAAAAAATTATAATTTAACTATGGAAGTGATGGGGAAAGAATTCTTAATCCATGCAGTTTAAGGTTTTTCCTTTGGTATACAATATACTGTTCTTTTAAAGTGGAAAGAAATTACTTGCATTTGGTTTGTGCTTCATCCCTGTATAGAACATGAACTTCTCAACTGAAAAAAACCAATTAATTTCTGGACATATTTTGCAGCTATAAAGACTGCAATAAAAATCAAAATAAAAAACCCCCCAAAAAAAAAAAAAACACAAAAAAAACCCCCCAGAAATATCGATCTTATAATATATTTTACTTGTCCTTTATTGCATTAATTTCATATCATGTATAGGGAAATGGAAGCATAATAAAGCATTTTCTAATACCCCCACTGGGAGAAGAAATGTAATTTGCAACAAAAAATATATTTTGAGTCAATGTAACCTTTATCCATTGAAAGCATGCTGATTGACTTTTAGGAAAAAAATGCATTATTTCCAAATTCAAAGATTATTCATTTCCAGGGATCAGGACTTCAGGAAGTTTTTAGAACAGACTTAGGCTTGAATAAGTCTACCCCAAAAGGAGTAGATTTATCTCTGCAGCTCTGTAGCACATCCCCCTGACCCCAGAAAGAGGACCCAGTGACAAAGCAAGAAATTCAGTCTATCTTTAATATATAGTAATTGCTACAAAAAGCTCTGCTAGCGGATACCAAAAAATTCATTAAGAATCTTGACGGAATAATTACTGGCTATTCAGTGGCTACATCAGAGATAGAATTAAACTATCCATTGAATGACTTTTATCTATCTACATGGTATTAAATAAAGATCAGCTTTTCCAGAATAATATTAGAAAAGATAATCTGGTGTAAAATCTCCTGAATAGCTGAAGATTTCAGACATGAAGTTCTTGATAGAAACAGCCTGTCTGAATCAAGCATGTTCCACTCAGGAACATGGTTCTGATGACCCCTGAATATGACCTACTCCCAGTGGAAAGCAATTTAATGCTCTACTGCACACAGAACAGTATATATGAATACTGGGGGGCTGGGGAGAACCCAAACAGATTAATTACTGACAGGTACATTTGAATGTGACTGCTTCTTAGCCACTTGTCTGCAGCCAGGCAAGATTGTTTCACCTGTTAGAGAAACATGGCAGGCTGCCTCTGCAAGCTCTCATTAGGCAAACGGCCTCCATTGTCCATTAGAGGAAAAATCCCCCCATTATTTAAGGAAATGTGACAGCAGTGGAGCTGAAGTTTTGGCAGGAAATTCATCAGTGCATTACAAAGCTTTTTGCCTTCTACAACTTTCACCAGCCTCTTTCCACTCTTTTATCTGACAGCTCAAACGCCTCAGGGTTGTGGTCATGGCAAAGGTCAAGAACATAACAGCAGGACTGTAAAAAAGAGGTTCTTTCAGGGGGAGAAGCTGCCATACACAAACAAGGTTACTGAGCACACGACAATGAGATGAAAGCTCACATCTCAAAAAAATATCGAATTAGTTACCATTACTTCTGAAAAACCATTAAGAATCTTAAAAAAATATTTAGAACTCTTACATACTCTCTGAAACCTAATACAAGTAATGAATATGAAATTATCCATTATAAGATAAATGTTGGAAAGCCTCATATGTTGGGAACAATTGCAAACATGCATAAATAATAAGTAGTCTTTTTTTAGAAAAAAACCCATGACAGTTGCCAACTATTAATTTAAAATATAATAAAATAACATATTGCTTATATCAAGATCACTTAATTCATATACAAATGTGTGTTTTACTGAAGACTAACTTACTTCAGCACGAAGCTTAATTAAATAAGAACCTGAAAATGTGTATTTCTGTTATTAAAGTAATTTGCAATGTTATAGTACTCGAGTTTAAAGCTAAGAGTTTGCTATGTCTTTAATTACTTATCAGCAGTGGTAGCAATGAGGTGAATTTGAATTACCTGTCACAATGTCCAGTTGTGCTCTTATCAGGTCAAAGAACAGGTTGACTATCTGATTAAAAAAGCCACAAAGACAAAACAGAATCTTAACTTCCTATTCCATCAAACAATAATTTTTAAACATACACATATTCAGTGTGTGCAAGGAATAAAGGAATTTAACAAGTATGAAATAGTTTTTGTATGTACATTCATTCAGATATGAATTTGACAATGGACCAAAGTGTCCATTGTCAGTACTTGGTTCCTATTAATATGCACACATCACATAAAAACATACTTGAAAGCAACTCACCCAGTAAAAATTCTTAGGCTCAAACACCAATGGTTTTAAGTATAGGTGTAGTTATACCAACATCTTTCATTCTCCAGATTGTATAATAAAATATTCAAACAAGAATGGACTGCCCTCAGAGAGATAAATAGTCTTTATTTTTAAACTGGTTTTATATGATTCATTTTTCCAACTAATCCCCACACATATAGATACCTACCAAATATGCTGCTGGATGAGATAAGTAACATCACATTTAGAGACCTGAGATTCTTCTGATCTTCATTTTTAGATTTCATACAGTTATTCTAGTCTGGGTGAGATGTTTAAATTCGGAAGCTCGGATGAAAAATGATGTATGGTTTTTTTGAGCCTACATCTGTGTTGTTCTGTATTGTTATGACTAGTATTAAGGAGACCATCTAAGGAAGTATATCCCATTATTCCATCTTTATCTAGTCTACATTCAGAACACAGTAATAATAATAATAATAATTTTAAACTATTCACAATGATTTTAAAGTTTGAAATATTGTCATAAGCTATTTCAGGCAAAATAGCTGATTTTGCAGAAGGAAACTAAATTAATTTATCTTGAAATATATTAGCAAGAATTGGTTTCTACTGCACAGTCTGCAAAATATATTATCTTAATTTTATATGTAATACTTCAATATCTGTACAATCTAAATGAAACTCTTGGAAAACAGCAGAGTGACCATTACTGTTAGAATTTGCTGAAAAAATGCTTATCAAATATTTAGTTGCCTTAGACTTTACAATCAGTGATGGCACTATGCAAATTGATTAGGCCTATCTAGTTGTAAAACTTTTAACAAATACATGTTGCTTTCAGTGCATTTATCTCATCTGCAATATCTTATGATAATTATTTCAGCTCTTTAATTTTTTTTGTGGAGTTGATTCTTTTCATGAAATACTTGAATAAAATACAATTGTATACGTGTTCAGAAATTCCTGGAAATGTATTTCAGATATTTCAATATTCTAAAATTAAAAAATTCATGATGTACCTTGCTAGCCCTTGAGTTTCATTAATCTATTTTCACAGTGCACATTTTATGCTGAGTAGACTAAAATGTGTTTAAAGAAGGAAAAATTATAAATGTTTATATTTGTTAGCATTTGTACATATGGTACAGATATTTATAAATCCCTTAAAAAGATTTTATTTTGTCATATGTGTCACATAACACACCTTCTTACATTATATAGGCGAGATCCTCAGTTTTATGCCAAGAAATATTTTGGGAGGATCCCACACTAATAAAAGCAGGATATTTTCCTGCAGATATTGTATATTACATGCATTTCTGTATCTGTGAATTGCTCTACCTCTGTTTTTCTATCTACCTTTATATTTGCATATGTAGAAGCACACTAATTTCAAGAGGATGTGCAAAAAGCAAGGGAGTGTTATTCCTCTCCTTTTCCTGTCATCATTACCATGGCTCAGAATGGCACACAGTTTCCTGATGTGCAGTCTGTGCACACTCACTCCTCTCACTGAAGGCACTATTACCAGCTTTGGAGATGCCTGAAGCTGATTTCTTTGGGCACCACGACATACTTATGTGGATTAAGCTAATATGCCCTAAATCACTCTTTAATGTGGTCAATGGAGAGCAGATAGCCTACACTAAGACTGACTCAAGAATTCGAATATTTCTCCTTAAATCTTGGGTTACCAGAAGACAAGAAAACAATAGAGAAGACACTTTTTTCCAAAGGTAATCAGCAAAATGGAAAGAATGGCAAGCAAAAAAATGAGAATGAAGGAGGGTTCTCTTGGAAAGAGAAGGAAAAGGCATCAGAGAGGAGAGCTGGCAGGGAAACCGATCCCCTGACTACCTCCAGCATGAATGCAAGGGGAACTGGTCTTCACATCTCGAAGATAACATTTTCTGATATCTTATATTAGTGATGCAATGAACTATCCTTCTAACATATCCACCAACAGAAAAAGTAGAATTATAAAAATAACAAAAGAAATGCCTGTAAACATCCTCAGTCCCAGTGAAGGGAAAATACACCTAAACCTCTTAAACTTAATTTCTATTTGAGCAGTCCTATGCCAGAGAGAAGCATTTACAGTTTGTAGAGCAGTGTAATTTCAAGGACAGAAAGTGTTTATTTTATGATAATAAAACAAACATAGTACAAGTATTTACAATGTTATGCTTTCATGACTAATGCTGAAAGCATGGCTAACTGTAATGCATACTCTAAAAAAGGATTAATTCAAACTTAAAATTCATGTAGGAAATATTATTTAGATCAAAATTAGGACTTAAAAAATAAATCTACATTAAAATGACAACAAATTATATAGTGAGGTAATTCTCCAGTGATTTTAACATGTCCAATAATACACTGCAATACAAAATAAGACTCAATTATCAGAAGAGCTGCTATTTGTAGTGAAACCTTGACCCTATTTGAAGATGTTTTAGTACAATTTTTAGAAAAAATTAAAGATGACAGAATCATAAAATACATAAGCTCTGGCAATTTGTTGGAGGAGCCACAATATTTTATAATTGTCAAATCTTTATTTATATTTGTGGCAATACCATCAATCATAAAGATTCAGCTTGGTATATTTACACATGAATAGGACCTGTTATCACAGTTGTTTTCCATTTTCTACTAGCTGTTAAAAATTAATTTTGAATAAGGGTTGTAAGAAACATGCATAACAATACATAAACCAAGATGAAATCTAATTTTGATGCATTTAAAGTATTGCAGGAAGTCACATAACTCTCTGCCTAACAGGACCTCATTCCTTAACTAGGAATAAGATTTTAACTATTTCTCAAAAATAAAAACTAATTTTATATTTGAAAAACATAGATAAAAGCTAAAACTGGAACTAACATATTCCTGAAAATACAGTTCTGGGGTAAAAAGGAACTGAAATAGATTCTGTGTTGTTGGGAAAATATGGTAGCAAGAAGTACTTTATTTGGGGAAAAAAAGCCAATGGGCTAGATTAAATTTTTTTCATGCATAAATATGGGAGATGCCAAGGACATCATTAATTAAACTTCACTTAAATAATCCAAGCTGCATATTGGTGAACACTCTTGTTATGATACATGCAGCATCCATCTGCAAGAGGATGTGAAGCTTTTCTTAATCAACTAAAGAGCTGCTGATATTTTGGTTTCAAAGGTCTGAATCTTATCAAAAAGCATACTATAAGGTTATGATAGCAGATGAAATTTAAGCTTTATGATGTTATTTCTCAGGGAAAAAGAACAACAGCACAAATTTGTGCACATTAAGAAATATTACTGTTCTCTATCTTTCATACTGATATATCTTGTAAATTCTTGATAGTGCTAAAAGAGTTCAGAAAGAGGTCTTGGGGGTATGAAGACGCATAACTAGATTTCTCACTTACATGAATTCTAATATAAATTTAAAACATCTCAATTTCAAGGTTCAAAAAATAAATGAGGCTATTTCAAGAAAACAAATCAAAAAGTAGCAAAGAGAAAAAATGCATAACTTTTACTCTCTCTCAGGCACTATATTCTGCTGTTACATTATGAGAAATATATTTTGTCTTCAGATAAAGTTGTAAAGTCAACTTATTGTCACATCACTTTTTTATTCTTACACATCTGAATAAAAGTTTGAGAAGAACGACTAAAGAGTAGTATTTCTCACACAGGAAAGTAGAAGAAATATAGGCCTTCCTCCCCTGATTTCATTGTTAAAATTTGAAAGACGTAAAGCAGAACAATGGACTGTCATTTTTACCAAAATCATCGTTCAAAGATAGATTGGTCTAGTCAGACTAAGCAAATTACAAGAAACCTGATAGTCTTAAAATGGCAAGACAAATTACTTCTGAAGATCTCAAAGTGTGTGATCAGGCCAACTATACTTATCACAGTTCTTTCTTGAACTATCTGTAAGAAAATGCATCCTTTTCTTTGATGCAATGCTTTAACAATCAAATAACTAAAAATATTTTTTCTTGACTATTTCAAATAATAAGAATTTATTAAAGCCATCAATAACTCCCCAGTGTTTCATTAATATCAGTGACCTCACAGGAAGTTGTAACTCACATTGACGCACTCCAACATTCATGATTATGCAGTGATCTTATTTAATATTACGCAAAAGAGAGGTTAGATAGGGTCTCCCTAAAGGTTTAAAACACAATTCTGATACCGTGTCTATTTTCTCGAGAAGTGGGATGATTACAAGTGAATTAGCAGGTCAAGGCTATGAGGACCCTACAGCTAAATTGTGTTACATGGCATTATATTTAATTTGACCATCTGGACTAAGTGCAATCCACGCTGAGGTTCCGCAAGGCCAGCAGCTCTCTCTGGGCTGGGGGAAGAGGAGGGAACACGTGGCAGGCAATAGGGCAGGCTCTGGTACCCTGGCTCCCCAGCCAGGAACAGGGCATCCATCCCACAGGCACTGGGGCTGCTCCATAGACAGGGAAAGGATCTGACCTGGAGAGGGGAACCCGTGTCTCACAAAACCCTGAAGCACCTTAATTTTCTCCAAATGATGGACTCAGGCTGGAGCTGGGTCAGGACATCAGCCCACAGGCTGGACTCATATCTTTTTCTCATATATGAAACACTTTCTCACAACTACAGCAAAAACTACACTTTAACCTTTGGTAAGCCCAACAGAGAGAAGCCGGTAAAGAAAGAAGCAATGAAAAAGAATACAAAAAAAAACCCTAAAGGGATTCAGTAACAAGATACAGTAGCCAAAGA